AGGAGGCTCCAGGGCTGGCCGAGCCGCCGACCGACACGGCGCATGGCTGGACGTTCCCGCCCGTCGCGGTCTCTGAGACCGACGACAAGCTACTCTTCGAGCTCGAGGTGAAGCTCAAGCTCCAGGCGCGGCCCGTGGATGAGCTAGGTGTTGTGCGGCGGCGGCGCGACACGGCGATCATCGACTTTCCGCCCGAAGTCTTCTTGCAGCGCCCGGCGACGCTCCAATGCCTCTTGCACTTTGCCGCGACGCCGCTTCTCGAGGCTTCTGCGGGCTTTCGCGACGCGTACTATGACTATCCCAAGACCTTGACGTCGGCGACGCTTTTTTTCCGTCCTCGGCGTCCTTTGCGACGTCTTGACCGGATGGCTGCAGTCGTGCCGCCTCCTCGCGCATGCAACGTACACGACCCCGGCGCATCACACCCCTCGGTATCCCTCTCCTGAAAGCGCACGTCGGCAGCTGGTCGCTCGCTGGCGGGCTCCACGAAGTCGTCGCGCTCGCGCAGCCGACGGCGCCGCAAGTCCACCTCGTTGCCGCTGTCGTAGCTGTCGCACCAACGTGGCCTTGCGATGCAGACGGCCGTGGTCTGGACGCTTAACGCGGCTTTTCCACGCCATCGCCAACGTCCTCCTTGCGCCACACGTCGGCAAGCACGCCGTCACGCCGCTCGTCCGGTGGGTCACCGACGTCTTTACGCAGTTGACGCCGTCCAAATTGCGCCCGTCGGCCATTGTAGTGCCGGACCGACTCGTCGACGAGCTTGCCGCGCACGTGCTGGCAACCGGCAACGAACCATGGCTGCCGTATAAGGCTGAGTTGATAGTTCGATACTCAGACCAAATACATAACAATATATCAGAGCAATAGTTTTAAATAGTGTGAAAACCACATCTTCTACCACGATCGACGCAGCACAGACGCGTTAACGCGAGGCCGCACCGGTTCCTGTCGTTCTATAGCATCCTGGTAACGTGGAGATGAAGGTTTGGACGCCGAACGCAGCGCATGCATGCGAATTCCAACGTTGATTTGTCGAGGTGGTCAAATAAACACCCAAATGCACAACGTGTTTTCGCGCAGTTCGAAATCTCGACCGACTCCGACGCGGGCAGCCACAGTTGGCTATGTATATGGAGTGGCCCAGCGACTTGCGTTTGGGACGTGGTAGGTGCTTGGACTCTCACAGCAACGTCGTACTGCCGAGCGTCGTATTTCGCCAACTTGTACATAGAAATTCGAGTAAAAATGTAGAATTTTCGCCGAATCCGAGGACGCTTTATCTCTTCAAAAGTGATGGAGAGCACGGTACATTGACGATGGGAGCTCTGGAGCGCGCTGCAGCGCCCTTAATATATATTACACTAATTATGGTCTTACACTAAGCAAATAAGTCCGGATTTCAAAAAGTGTATTTAGTAAATCGTCAATAACTCTTGCTAGACTGGTTTCTGTACATAGACGCAGATTCTAGGCAGACGTGTCCTTGGCCTCTAGTACTGTGCGAAGAATGAGCACTTTTGTTTTCAATCATGAAATGCGCCCCAACTCTCGCCGCGGCCAGGTCGTGGCGTCCAAATTATGGTATATGCCATACCGGTAAATAAGGTGTGACGGGGTTGCTATAATTGGCGTTTTATGGCATATGCCACAAGTAAGGTTTTCAACGGCGTTGCCTCGACGTTGCATCAAATCTTGGCCATCGGTGCGTTCATTGAAGCCTGTAGCGGCCAAGGTGGTGTGCTGCGCTGCACGATCTGCAACGGACTGAAGTACGGGACTCCTCATCCTACCAATCCCACCGAACGCTGGGCCTGAACGCGGCTCGGTGATGTCACTTCGTGCTCTCGTCGTAGCCAGGAGCATGTGCTTGGAAGACCGGTTTCTGTACATAGACGCAGATTCTAGGCAGACGTGTCCTTGGCCACTGAAATGATCCCAGCCTTGCGGCTTCGCGCATAGAGCGTGGTTTCGAAAATGCAATTTCATTCAAATCAATTCAAGCTCGGAGCACAGGACATAGCTGCCGCGCTTGGCGTCGGTACCGGTCGTTTGTCCGTCCATCCAGTTGTGGCGCTCGCATTTCTTCCTTGACGACCAGCTACGTAGAATTAACATGAGACGCGCGGGTGTGGCGCCACGAACGAGTTCGTGCTTGAGCTGGTCGAGAGACAAAGACGCGTAGTCGGCTGCGTCGTGCAGTTGCAAAATCACCCAGTGCTTGGGGATGCCGCAAATCAGCACGTTGAACCTCTGCCCATCACTAGCGACTTGTAGTGGGCCGTTGGAAAGGATCCCAGCATTTTCCAATATTTCTTACATTCTGCAATATCATCGTCTTAAATAGTGTGAGCACCATTCAGCACAACGACGAGTAGCAGCCCACAGACGCGCCAGCAACCTTCTCAAATCGCTGAGATATTTTCAGGGACGCTTTCTCTAGCTCGAGAGAGGCTGTGTGCCGACGATCGTGGCAATCAAAGGCCTACAAGTATTTTTTTGAAACTCGCCAACAATTGCTCTTTTTTTCCAACATAATCCATCTAGATATTCAACGCGAGCCAATGCATGGCGCTTTGAGCCTTCATAATTCTAGACAGACGTGTCCTTGGCCACTCAAAAGATCCCAGCGTTGCGGCTCCGCGCATAGAGCGTGGTTTCGAAAACGCAATTCTATTCCAATCAATTCATTGTAAAATCACCCAGTGCTTAGGGATGCCGCAAATCAGCACGAGGAAACGTTCAGTCGTGTAAAAACAAGTGTAAAAACGAGCACGACAAAGGCGCAACGCAGTGCTTTTACAAGAGAATCGGAAAAAACTTGAGCGCTGCTCATTCTGCAATTCGCGCTCCAGGGCCCCGCATCGCACGGCAGGGCGGTCGCAACTAGGCGTCCTGTCCACTGTGGACGGTGAAACTCGTGTGGCCTTGGTCCTTTTTTTGGTCGCTCATCGCTTCAATTCAAGACATTGGCTCACCAGCTAAGCGCTTGCAACGACCGCTGCGGTCTCTTGCAGCATGCGAATGCTTGGGTCTACGACGTTGAGGACCGATGCCACTCAGGATGCCACTCCAGCGCGTGGAATCCGTATCCGGACAATCTCCGGATATCAGTACGCACGACCTCGTCTTAAATAGTGTGAGCACCATTCAGCACAACGACGAGTAGCAGCCCACAGACGCGCCAGCGCTACGTAGCAGCCGTGTATACATCTCCACACACTTTTTGAGCGACACACAAGTCGTTTCCGACGCTGCACGTAGCGCAATCACGCGCAAATCCATTTTCCATTTTTCGAGGTGGTGGCAGAATTGCCCAAATACTTCACGTGACATCGCGGGGTTCCAAAGCTCCAAGGACCGCAAGACTGGCTGCCACAGTTGGTAATG